AAAATCTAAAATATAATTAGAATAATTATCGAGTTCCAACAAAATAAATAATTATTATCTTTATAAAAAAATTATATTATTAAATCAAATATAAATTACTTCGTTATTGTACATAAATCAGATTATAAAAAAATTGAATTAAAAAATTACACAAAGAAATAAGGAATTTCAAATATAATTTGATACTAATATCGATATATTTTTGTCAAAATTTTATGATATCTTCAAACATATATTTTTTTCAAAAATAAAAACATCATCGCTTTCTAAAAATTATATAAAGTCATATTATAACATCGACCGAGATAAAGAATAAAATGAAATATTAAAATCATGATGTATCTCGCTGCATTGCGCGAGTACGCTTCTAGTTAAATTAAAAACAAATTACTTTATTGTTAAACCTAAATTAAGTTATAATAAGAAATTGAATTAAAGAAATTATACAGAACTTTTAAATAGTTAATTTGATACTGATATCGCTATATTTTTTTTTTCAAATTCCTACGATATCTTTAAATTTATATTTTATTCAAAAATAGAAAATATTGTCCATTTCTCAAAACCACATAAAATCGTATTATATCGACAGAGACAAAGAATAAAATGAAACATTAAAGTCGAGATATATCTCGGTGCATTACACAAGTATCATTCTAGTTCTTTTAAATATGTATTATTCTCTTTTTTTTTTCTCTCTCTCTCTCTCTCTCTATATATATATATATATATATAAATATATGCATTAAGTATTGTTTATTGATGTATATTACTTAAAATTCTAGATTACAAGTAAATTATGCATAAGTACAATTGATTAAAGTTCCATGTTTGAATTCGTGTAACTAATTACAGATAAATATAATTAAATAGATGATAAACATCTCATTTTAAATATAAAAAATCTAAAATATAATTAAGATAATCATTGAGTTCTAACAAAATATTTAATTATATTATCTTTATAAAAAAATATATTATTAAAACAAAAATAAAAAAAATTAATTAAAGAAATTACATAAAAAAAGAGAGATTTTAAATTGATAGTTTGATACTAATATCAATACTAGAAGGGTACTTGTACAATGCAGCGAAATACATCTCGATTTTATTGTTGCGTTTTATTTTTTGTCTCAGATGATGTTAAAATATGATTTTATGTGTTTTTGAGAAAAACGATAATGTTTTTATTTTTGAATAAAATATAAATATGAAAATATCATGAAATTTTGAAAAATATATGTTGATATTAATACCAAACTAACAATTTAAAATTTCTTTTTTTTTTTCATGTAATTTCTTTAATTTTTTTTGTTGGTTTAATAATATAATTTTTTATAAATATAATAATTAAGTATTTTGTTTAATGATTATTTTAATTATATTTTAAATTTAAAATGAGATACTTATTTTATATTTGATTATATTTATCTATAATTAATTATACAAATAAAAAATTAAAATTAAAATGTATCACACTAGATTGCAAGAATATCGTATATAGATACATATGAACGAATTCAAAGCCTTTAAATCCCCTCTGCTTCACCTACCTTCTCTCACTGGTTCACCTTCCTTCTCTCACTGGTTCAATCATGGCAATATGGCTGGCCGGTAGAAGAGGCGCCAGTTACTGTGTAAAAGCATTGATCTCTACTACTTTCAGATCATCACGCTCTTACACCACCGCTTTTGCTTCTAATGGTAACTCCGATTCCTTGTTTTTCTGTGGCAACTCATCATCAGCGGCCGTTTTTGGATCTCAACGCTTTGAATCAACGAAAGCTCGGCAACAATTAGACCTCTTATCTAGTGATGATGATGAGGAACAAAATCAGGTAAGTCGTTTGATTTGAATTTCCCGCTCTCTCTGATCATATCTTCTTCGTTTTGTGATTCCGATTCCATGAGTTCTTTCATATTAGGAAAATTAAATCAGGATATCTTGTTACAATCATAAACAGTTTAATATCTATTCTAATGTTCTATGTAATTTCATGTCACCGAAAACGGTGGTATTAACCTACAGGAAAAATATGAAGAACACAAGAATATATCTAAACGAAACAACTTTTGTGGTTTTCTATCAAATTTGTAAACACATTTTGATCCGGAAGTCTCTGGAAATTAGAACCGGAGTTTAAATAAATGATTTTGTGCTAGAATCAATTATATGTCGATTATGCTATATCATAATTACGGATTCATGCTCATACTCATAACTAGTTTCAGAAAAATACATCATTGTAATTTGATTCATAATTTAATAGACGTGTTTGAGTCGTCAATAAATCTGTTAATCGCACCTCTAACAATCCTACACCACCATTCCCAATGAAAGCATGGCTGTCGGTGGGTTTACTTTTACAACTGGCCTCATGGCTATCTCTGCAACCTTTTCCCGCAAGGTTTATTTCCGAACAAAACAGAGAGATCCTAAAAATTCCATTAAATCTTAAAATTTAATCTCTAATAACCGTTCGATGTTTCGACCTATCGATACTGAAGGAATTCGGGGCAAGAAGATGATAGAGGGAAGAACAGTACTGCTGTAAAAGCATTGGAGTGGAAATTAGTTAAATCATGGACCTAATCAATCTCAATCTCTCAACATCAATTTGGCCCTTGTCTATGCTCTGCCCTCACCCTCCCGTTCAGTTTAATGGAAAGAATCTCCATCAGATACGAGGAACCTGCTAGTCATCCGTTTAATAAAAAATAATAAAAATAATGTGACATATATACATGTAGGCAAAGGATCGTGGTATCTTTAATCTCAAATTCATCCATAAATAATGCTTAATACGAGGATTGATCATATGCATCTCATCCTACGGTTCATCCAAAGATGAGATCATTTCTTACGCTTCTTATTTTAACTATGTTTTTCAACGAAACCCAACCCAATCATATGCATGCATTAGATATGAAATGTTATATTTAAAATATAGTGTGTGTATATATATGGGCAAGATCAAACGAAAAGACTAACTATTTAAGAAAATAAGAAAAAATTCGTTGTACAAAATTATACATGATTCACACACACACACATATTTATTCACGTACAAAATCATACATATTCAAAAATTGTCTACTTTCATTTTTTTGACGTTTCTTGTTTTCTTAAATATTTACCTTTATCTCTCTCTCTCTCTCTCTTTATATATATATATATATATATATATATATATATATAAAGATTGTGTGAGAAAAAAAGTTAAGATGAAAAGCGTAAAAATGATCTGAACCGTTGATCACCTTCAATTTCAAACCAATCAATGAATCGAGTTTGATATGGAGATTGATCTAGTACATCTCATCCTAATGTGCATCCAAGGGTGAATATCTCTTCTTATACTTATCACTTTAACTTTTTTTTTCCACCAAAACCCAATCTTATATATATTACATAATATATATAAGGAAAATAGAATACACATTTGAATATATAAAAGTAAAGGTCGGGTTAGGGGCAAGTAAGTTTATCTCTGGCTCGCCCCAAATCCACATTAGGTATAGAAATCAATCTCCGTCCCCTATGTACGCCAAGTCTGGGAATTCCTGTCCCATACCTGCGTGTTAAAATTTCCATCTCTATCTTCGGTTAAACTAGCCTTTTGGAAATAGTGAGACGAAATGAACTTTTCTATTTGCGAAATAAACCCCTTCTATAAATTCCTTTTCACACGAACGAAAATCAAAACCAAAACCAAATCCTTTTTATATTTTTCAAAATACTAATTGATTCAAATAGAATTGTTTGTCAATAACCTTTTAGAAATTTATCTGTGAGGTTTTCCAACTGATAAAACATTGAGTTTGTTCTAAGAGCATCTCTAATGCACAAATCATTAAAGACTTTTTTCTTTTGTCACATCAGCTTTCTACTAACATTTTTTTAACAAAAATCTATTTTTATAAATAATCTCCAATGCAAAAACATTTTCGAAATCTTTTTCATCAATAATCTATCCTCATCTATTTAAAATGTTTTATAAAAACCCCTCATTTAATTTGTCATTTTAAAGTTCACGTCATATTTTTCGGAAACAAAAATTACTTAACATTAAAATCAAATATTTAAAAACATTACAATAAGTTATATTAAAAAATTACTTGACATTTTATTTTCTTTGGATATAAGTTGTTTATCCAAACATTTAAAAAATGCTTATTACCGGTGTTATACCGGAATAAGTAAATAAGTTGTTTTTATAAGCAATTTCAAACACCCCTAAAAAGGTTTTTAATAACACATGTATTAGAGATTCTTTGAAAAAGTAATGACTCATTAGTTTAATTCTTCTTGGAAGATTTGTCAAACTATTAAATTTAGCTTTCTATGAAATAAGAAGTTGTACGATAAACTGATCCAATTTCCACAATTGTCAAACTCTTTCGCAAAAAGAAAAGTAACATCGTTTTTTTGTTGTGTGACGGCCCCAATCGGGTCTATCGATTGCCTATACAAGGATTGTTCCGGTGAGGCTTGCGTTTGTTATTCTCGTCACTTGGTTGGTTTGGTTCTCACAAATTGTCGATGCGTGTGGTTTTTTTTATTTTTGTTGTACCTTATTTAGTTGGTAAGAAATTGGATTGCGTTTTAAAAAAAGATTAAATCAATGGATGGCACATATTTTTTCAGTAAAGAAACGTACGAACCTAAAAGTAAAAAGAAAATAGAAAACGAAACTATGATGAACTTTGGAATAAAAGAAAAAGACAAATTTCGTGTCAGAAGCGTGGTTTGGGGGAGAAAATGATATTTCGAATAGGGTCTTTTCACTCTTTTCAATTTTATTCGAGTGAAAAACGTTATTTTTTTTAATAGAAATATAATTAAATAAGAACCTTAAATTTTGTGATAATGGTATGAACTTGTATTTTAGAGTATTGTTTCGATAAGATTTCTTTATTTAGGGGCTGTTTATCAAAAGCTTATTCGGGTAAGTGAACATCAAGTCTCATTATCTTATCAGATGAATATGGTAAGGATAAAAAATCTTATCCGGTAAGAACGAAACAAATACCAAGAGTTTTACCCGGTAAGTGAGAGCGATGACTCTTACCATGGTAAGCGTTTATCGGGTAAATTGTTGCGTACGATATCGTTTTGATGGACTAAAATCTTACATGATATAAGTAAATAATAGGGTTAAATTTACCGGTAAACGCTTATCGGGTAAGTATTTGGTAAACGGCCCCTTAATGTTAAAATTTAAAGTATTGATTAACATATATTTGTCTCATTATATGAAACTATTTTGTACGTGTTTTAGTGAATATAAGTAAGAGAGAGAATCAAATGATACATATTTAAAATAACAAGACAATTATTTTGGGTCAATCATTTCATTAAATAAAACATTTTTAAAAATCGTATAAAAAAGCACAAATATAATATGGTAAATAAAACTTTCTTAAAAATCGTTCGAAAGGGTAAATGTGTTATTTGTTATATATATATATATATATATATATATATATAT